ATGGGTTGTAAGATTCAACTTTTGTTTAACGGTTAATTTGTTGGAATAACGGACATGTATACCATTAACACCAATTTTTGTACGTTGACATAAACCAATAATGACAAAAGTAACAAATAACGATAACGAAGTCCAAGTTTTTCATCTTCATCCTCAAAGGCTAAACAAATCGAAAGCAAAAATCGCAAGATCAACAAGTTTATAACATCATCCTCGACAAATGAACAACATCATCCCCAAGCTACCACAACATCCACTCGTGTTAGACATCAACTACATGTTAACTTTGAATTTTATGACTTCATCACTTGGGAGGACAAAAGAACGTGGAAACATCATACAAATTGTCTCCAATGTTATAAAATATACAAATTGAAGCACACCAAACTTTACATTAAACTAAACAACGTACCAAACGTGCACGATCCACATAATTTGGTTTTATTTCGATACTAAACGAGCACTTTGGAAGTCTCTAATACCCATTTTATTTCTCCAAACAAATGCTTTTTTAAACGTTACGACATGTCCACACACAACACAAATGTTGCAAACACATTTGTGTTGAAAAAAATGAAAAACAAATGGTAGAACCTGTTTTAACAATTGCCCGTTCATTACTTGAGGTACAAAAAAAATCTGAGAAATCAACTTTGGATATCCATGTCTCAGTAAGAGCATAAATCCACAGATAAGCCTTCATTTCGATAAATCATGTTTCATGAAATGTATTAGATTCTACAAAGGAAAGGTTTTTGTCCACAAGACCAAATTTGGTTTGGAGAATATATTATACACAGTCCACTCACGCCTCAATCACTCATCAGAACCTATTTTTAAGGAATCAGATTATATTCCCCTGTATTTAGCCACTTTGAGAAATATGGAATATATTCCCAATCTCTCCAACATGATTTATCATAGATCCTTTGTCATATGTGAGTCCAAAGCTTTGACACGTGAGTAAACGCTATTCAAACATCCATCTATAAAGGGAGAAGGAGGATATGCTGTGTGGAATAAGCAACATAGCAGCAATCCCTTCTAAATAATCAATGGCTCCTAACGGGAAACGAAATCCTTCTATTTCTCAGAAAAAAGTCTTCTACAATGGCGAATGGACGAGAGAAGTTGAAAAAATGTTCGTGAAGGAGTTGGTCGACCAAGCTCAAGCGGGCCATTTTGAGGTGGGCAATCCAAATAATCATGCGACTCTTATGGCAATGAGCGTTGTCAATGAGGTGTACGGTAAGAGCTTCGATTTGGAATTTTGTCGCGGAAAAGTTCGTAAGCTCCACAAGCGCTATCAAGTGTTCAAATGGATAACCCAACAAAGTGGCGTGATATATACGACCAATGGTCATAAGGTGCAAGCAACCGAGAAAACATGGGAACACATCATTCGTGTAAGTCATTTATGTTTTAGCCTGACAATTGCAATTTAAACACATTCCACTGATTCTACGTGTTTAACTAATTTATGTTTTCTGCAGCATGAGAAGCTCGCAATGGCCTACATTAACGAAGGTGAATCCTCTTTCGACGAACTAAAAAGGTTGTTCGGGAATGGTGTAGACTCCGACAACGACCAGGAACCACACGAGGTCATTGTTATTTCGGAGGATGACAACGATGTTGATGGAGACGGTGAGGACGTTGCTGTTGGAGGAGAAGATGGTAGTGTTGGTAACCCCCATATGCCTCTTGAGAATGATTCCGATAACACAAATAACTGTTTCCATTACGATCTTGCTTGGTATAGTTCTGATACCACTAGTTTTTCATCCCTCCATAATAAGGATAATCCATCAGGCAAATTAACTTCTACCTCAGAGGTATTGAGTAAGTTCCAGAGGCATTGGGCAGGCCACGATTGGGAAAACGATGAGGACGAACATGACGAAATCCCAAATAGTTCAACTGCCTCGTCGTCGCCTTTCAAGAAGTACTGAGCTGCAGTTTGTGTCAACTTGTCGGTGGGCCATTTGTGTTTGTTTTTTTTTTTCCTGTTGCATGTGTTTCATTTCAATAAAGCAACTAAGTCCTTCGGTTCTTTGCTAGTTCTTTTCTAGTCTGAATTTGGAGGATAGTTGCAGGTAGTTCTGTGTTTCCATTACGAATATGTGTAATCGTAACCTTCTTGGGGTTGAGGTTGTGTTCTCCCCTGACCCTCCTGCTCGAATAAATCTGTCATCGGTTCCACCATTCAAAGTACGTTATGTGTTATGAAATTCCTTTCATTGTTGTACTTACCAATATTAAGTAGTGAAGTATTTATGCATGGTACTACAAGATAAAAGCACAGGGAGAGTGATTTATTATTTTGTCATGCATCTGTACAAAACTCAATTATGACTAACTCTAACTAGTATGTGGAATAAAATTTCTGCAGCGTGGAGTTCATTAACAAAGTTGTCATCTGAACATTTCTTTGCACAAAGAGTACCATATTTTATCTATATAATTAACACAGTAGTTTAAAATATTTATTCAGGAGTTTCTTCATTCCATCAACCAGCTTTGTGTAATAAATTATTTAAGTGCATGGCCACCAACATTAGTTTGTTCATTAATTTTTTTCATGAGAAAGTATGCGAATCATTTGTTAAATCGACGTCAAACGAAGACGAACAAATAGTGTGTACAAACATGAAGAACACACATTCGAATTTCGAATATAAAAGCACCAACACCTTAGATAAAAGAAACACTTCGACAATTCAAAGAGGTTCACCTGATTCTTTGTTCCAATGTCAAAACAAAACGTCGGAAAGCAAAAAATAAGCAAAATAGTTGAATACAACGACACCTCATTGTCCATATTAAACCTTAGTCTTAGATGCTAACTAGGTTAGTTCAAAACATCCATTTCAACAGACATTACATAATAACTCTAAAAGTTATCATTTCTTCGGGGATGAGCCTGAATATCGCCACAGATCCTTCTTCAAATCCACTGTTTTCCACAAAAGCTCTCATTGTGCCATTCTGCATAAGCTTCTTCCCATGTCCATGAATAATGTCAGCTTCATATGTAGCACCACCCATTAGTATGATAGCTTTATTGTTGTTAGTGTAATTTCCTTCGATGCGAGTCCTCCAAAAATCCATTGGACTTGGCTGAATACAAAAAACAAGTTTTTGTTTACGAAACGAGTATGTAGTTTAATAGGATAATAATTTGTGCTTGTATTATTGCTTACCAAGCGTACACGTTCAATATGAGTGCGTGCAATGTCCAGAGTGAAGAGGTATTGAGGATCCCTTGCAAGGGCACTCTGAGTATGCACCCAAACTTTGAACTCAAATAAGCTTTTGCGGTTGAAAACCAAGATGTATGTTCCTCGAATATCTTCGAACCTAACAAAATCTAACCATCCCTCTGCCAAGCATATGTAATCACCAATTTTTCTCATTGTTACATTATAGGTATGTCCTTCAACAGTTTTTAGAACGCAACGATGTGGTACATAACGTTCGTATTCGCTTTGCAGCGCGGGTGGGATCCGCTAAATAAATTTAAGCAAAATACAGTTTCGTTAGGTTTGTATGGATTAACGTAAGAACATAGTACAAAGACTAATATGAATATGAACTCACCAAATTAAGATCTTGTGCATCAAGAATAAATTTGAAGAACATAGACAGTCTGCTAGCCATGAGATTGTACCTATGAAAAATTCAACAAGTTCTTTTATTCTTCAGAATGCTTGAAAACCAATATTCTTTAACAATCACCCGGTCAAATCAACAAACCTTATGAATTCCATCGAGAAGCCCTAACGAAATAAAAGTTCCTTAATAATCTCCATAAATTTTTTTTAATACCCACAATGATCGATTGTAAAAGAACCATTAACAAGAATCACACAAATTCCTTACGAAATAAAAGATCAAAACTATACAAATACAACATACAGTTCGAATGTAGAGTTCAATTAAAACGTCCAACACATACCTTCACCCCTTCACCCACTATTGCGTAATACACAAA